CGAGAAGGTTGGTGGGCTTCAGGTGAGCAGGGGGATGAGAGGGGCCCTGGTGTGGAGGTCTGGGTCCAAGGTTAAGTCAAAGCCTAAGCCTGAGGACGGGCTAAGCCTGAGCCTAGGCTAAGCCTGAGCCTAGGTGGCCACGTCCCTCCAGGGGCGGCCTGCTTGGTGGATTTTCTTTGACGACCGATGAGCAGGGCAGTGGGCGACTGGAAGAGACACTGGTGCGGACGACAAGCGGTGGAGCGTGAATAGAATAAACTTGCTTTTTCTCGCTCTTCTTCCTTGCGCAGCAACGTATCAACGCCGGACCATGGGCTGGGGGGCCGGCGGTCAGAGAGCCCCTGAACCTGGACGACCGACGTGCAGTGCAGTGCATTGTGCATTGTGCGTTCGAGGGGGGTGAAGTGGGATACGGCCGAGTGTCTCCAGTGCTTACTAGGACCCCCCTCTATGAGCCCCCTTCACTTGGCCCCCCATTGCTTGGTCTCAACATTGGCCTCATCACTTGGCCCCCAAAGCCAACCTGCAATCCACCCCCTCACCTGCAGACCCCCATCCCAGTACCAAGACACCCTCCCCCGCCCCGGCTGTCGCACGCAGAGGCCCAATAAGCTTGTTGTTCCTTCCTTTCTCCCCTTGTGCCCTCGTGTTTCTCGCTTATTTGCGTTGTCTGTGGGCTCTCTCTCTGCCATGATGCAGGAATAATCCGATGTTTGTCCAGACAATTGTTTGGACCAGGGGCTCCGATGTCGAAACATCCAAGGCCCAAGCAAGGCATCCAAGGAGGGGGGGGGGGTTTCTTTGCTCGCGCGCACGTCACTGCCATGGACCCCAGCGCTAGAGTTCGTATCTGCGGACAGGTTCCCCCTTCACCTCTTTTTTTATTTCTTTTATCCAGATTGCCATGGCCTATTGTTCGTTTGACTGCTTCATCACCATGTGAAAACTCTGCCACCCCTTGATGCCGGTTGACGTCGACGCGGGCTGACATGGCCGTACGGGGGCCGTATTACTCGACTGCTTACCTACCTTGGGCTTATTTGTGTCCATCTGCTCCACATGAGCGCATCGTGGGACAAGGTGCCTATACGGCGCCGTCTCACCAATGACGGACGGCCCCTCATGTCGAATCGCGCGGTACTGACTATGCATCGAAAGGTAGGTGGGCACATTGTCCAATCGGCGTCACGCGAAATGGCGGCCCCTTCGGCGTCTTTTCCTCCCCCTCTATCTCTCTCTCTTCTTCTCCTTCTTCTTCTTCTTCTTCTACCTCGCTGGCGTCCTTAGGGGCCGCCCACCAGACTATTTCAAGATCAGATGCAGTAGCGCGCGCCTTGTTGGGCCCGCCCCGGACGAGTCAGATGCCGAGCGAGAGGGCGGGCCAGGTTCAGGGGGGACAGGGGCATTGTTCACAGGCCTCTTTAGGATGCTGTGGGGTCGATCCGACAAGATGGAGGAGAACAGACAAAGAATACGAACAAAGAAGCGCAGATTGCCTTGCCTCTGGCGTGGTCGGGATTTTTTTTTCCCATTCTTGCTTGTCTTTCATGTCGGAACAAGCCATGGTGCGAACTCAAGTGTCACGATGGGAGGAGTCATGGAAGATTGGAAGTTTGCCACATGGGGACGAGTTGGAAGCTTATAGCAGATTAAGTAATCATTCTTGTTGTCCTTTTCTGTAAGAGATGCCGGTGTTTTTTGCGGCCCGTTCGTCATTACCACATTATAACTTTCTGTGTGTGTGTGTGCGTCCTTTTTTGTGCTCGCCAACGAGAGAGAAACATAGGAAATGAAACAGGCCCCCAAAGAAAGACAATAAAAAAAATCCCAAGACAAAAAAAAAAGAGCTACCCCCATAAACGCCCTGAGAGCCAGGTCCTGTATAGCAACCCTTTGGCTCCCCCCTCCCCCCCCCCGCCTAAAAAAAGCCCGGACACCAAAGCCGAAGATGCCGGCGCAGCCGTTCATTACCTGAAATCCAAACAAACCCACTGTCTGTGCAGAGTGT